TCCCCGATCTCTGGAAGTCGCGCTGCCACACCTCTTCTCCGGCTATGCTCACTCCTTGGTGAGCTCAGCCGGTGTCAGCTCTAAATATGGTCCCAACCCCAGGTGCACCTCTGCAGCCGGGACCTCCCCCGCCCGCCGAGCTCCCAGCTGTAGGTGCCGTTGCCTGCTTGACATCTCCAGCGGATGCCTAATAGGCATTCTTATGTTATGTGTCCAAAACCTGATTGTAACATGACCCAGCGACCCGGTGACCCAGCGAGTCCCCAGTCTCCTCCAGTCTGCTCTCCCCACGGTTGCCTTCAGCTGGGCACAAGGAAACCCTCTCATTCCCATTGCTCAGGCTGCAGGCGTGGTTGCCTGACCCATCAACGTATCCTTCGGTTCTGCCTCAGTTCTCAGCCCCTCCCCTGATCCCCCTTGGTCCAAGCCACCATTACTTCTCGCCTGAATTATTGAGATCGCCCCCCAGCCCCCGCCCAGCCCCGGCTTCCCTATGCCCCCTACCCCTCTTTGTTTTTCTCCATAGCACTCAGCAGTCACTGACATGTCATTTATTTATTTGTTTATGGTCTGTGTCCCTCTCTGGACCTGTGAGTTCAAGGGTCTACCTGTTTCTTCTCTCGGTGCCTAGAACAGCACAGAGTGGAAACTCACAAATATCTGTGGAATGAGTGAATGTGCACCAGGCACACACGTGTGCGTGCACTGACATCTATGATTGCAGGCACACGCCAGCACACACATAGGAGCCACAGGCACGTGGGTGGACCTGAGGGCACACGGATGATAGAACGTGAGGCTGCAGAGTGGGCAAGGGAAAACCGACGTGTACTGGCTTTAGCTGGGGCTTGGTTTTTAATCCCATTTGGGATTAAACGACTGTGTGGTAGGTTGAGACCTGCGGCCCAGAGGACGCCCCCAACGTGCCCAGGTCTCATGGCGAGGCCCAGGCAGAGCCAAAAGCAGCCCCAGGGCTCCACAGCCGCCTCCCCGAACGACTCTGAATGCCAGGGTAGGGTCCTGGCATTGACACCCACTCAGGAAAAGCAGCTGGAGCAGGGAAGGGGGGAAAGGAGGGAGGGAGGAGGCCAACGTGTCTGCGGCAGAGCTGTGCAGAGCGGCGATGCGTTGGCAAACGGCCAGGAAACCTGGCCAACGCGCCCGAGGGAGGACCTGGTGGGCTGAGGTATGAAAGCCCGAGTGGGAAGGAGAGACGGGACCTGTGAGGGCAGGACAACCCTGTGCTCGGGTGCCTGGCCAAGGGGGCAGGCGGGGGCTGAGAGGCAGCCACCCTCGCCCTGCCAAGCGTGTCCCTCTGGCGCCAGGCTGCATTCTCTCGGAAAGGCGTCTTTTATCATTCCCCAAAGGTCCCCCACGCCGTGGGGGACCCAAGTCCAGGGTTCGAGGTTTAGCCCTATCACCAAGGATGCCCTGCAACCTTGGACAACACTCTTGGGCTTTGCCCCTTTCTAGAGTGGGATCTGACCTCAAGCCTTTGCCCCAGGCAGCCCTTCCACAGCCAGCCCCCTCTCCTCCCCAGCACCCCACATTCCATGTGTCCAAATCCTTCCTGTGCTTCCTCTTCAAGCACCACCTTCTCTGTGATGCCATCCCTGCTCTGCAAGCCTCTGCGCTTGGCCCTCAGGGGTTAATGGCTCACATCCTAAACGTCCCTTATGGCCGTGGACCATTTCAGTCTCTTGTAGTTTTTATTGTACAAAATTCCTCCAATGGCTTCTCTAAACACTCAGGATACAATGGAAACTGCTTTTCCTCCTCCATGTCCTGCCTGATCTGGCCCAGACCCCTGTCTCCTGCCTCACCTTCTGCCACCCCCTTGCTCCGCACCAGCCACAGAGGCCTCCCTACTATTCCTCAGCTTGTTCCAGCCCCTGGGCCTTTGGCCCTGCTGTCCCCTCTGTATGTGGAACCATCTGGTGCCCAGCTCCTTCTCAGCCTTCCAGATCTGCCAAATGTCACCTCCTCTGAGAGGCCCTCCCTGATACCCTACCTGTAACGTCACACCTACCACGGTCCTTTCATCATTCTCCTCCTCCCTTTTTCCTGCTTTATGTTGCTTCTTAACATTTATTACTCCCTGAAATTACACTGTAGATTTCATTTCTTTATTACCAGAAGCTCAGCTCCATGAGGGCCAGGACTTTATTTTGCTGTGTCCCCAGTGCCCAGCACAGGGGCTGGCGTCAGGGAGATGCTGGTAACTATTTGAAGAAAGAGTAAATGAATAACCACAAGAAATGCATCTCTCTCCTGGTATAAAGCTTATTGCATCTTGCTGTCTTACCCAGAGAAATTATTTTTAAAGAGTGTTGAATGAATGAATGAAATGCACTTCTGTCTCCCCACTTGCAGAAGAGGCTGATGCTTGACGAATGAATGAATGATTGACTCTTAGTGAGAGAACAACGGGTACCTGCAAGCCCTGGGGGGCTCCTCTTGCTCCCACCCCTGTGCACCCCTCCTGCTGCCCCCCTGCACCCCTGCAGGGCTGTGATGAGCCCTGGAACTGCCTGACAGAGTCAGGGGAACAGTTCCCGCTGCACGCAGGGAAGTCATAAGCTCCAGGAAATGAAGGCTCCGGAGCAGTGCCTCCTCCTCACCCATAACTCCAGCCTCATTACAACCAGCTCAGGCCATAATGTGGAGAATCAGAGCCGGATCCCCAGAGGCAGCAGCACGGCTCCGGGACTGCGGTCACGGCCACCAAGGTGGGGGAGGGCCTGCCGACATCCCTGGGCTCTGCCGTCCTGCCCAGGCCCCACAGAGTGGCGGAGGGGACTGAGACGGGGGTCCTGGGGATGTTCGCAGGAGGGTCCCGGGTGGTCCGGACCCCCATTAGTTTAGGGGCCTGGAGGGAAGGAGGGGACAGGATACTTGGGATGCCTCTCCTCGTTCTCCCCTGTGGACTCGGTGTTTTCTCATTGCCGTTGCCCTGAAATGCAGGTTTAACCCCCTCCCCTTCCAACAGGTGACTCCCGACCCCAAAACCCCTTCCATAAGGAAATTCTGGAGCCACTGCTGGGAAAGAGCCCTGAGTAGTCAAGCAAAATGGGTGTAAGACACAACTTTCATTTGTGACTCAACATGAGTTCCCGAGTTAAAATAAAAGCAAGGGAATTGCCCCTTGTGGCCTCCCATCAAAGGAGGTGATCAGCATTTCTTCCGCCCGCCCCCCACATTCCAGCCACTTCCTTTGTCCACAGACTTCCTTCAGTCCCTCCCACCTCCTCTGCCCAGCCAGCCACACACCTGGTATTCCCAGCCTAACTCCCCAAATGCGCCAGACCTCCCCCAGCCTGCCTGCACGTGCCTCTGCTGGAGCGCCCATCCCACCTGCTTAGATGTCCCCTCCTCCAAGAAGTATCCCTGATTCCCTCCCACCCACCTGCCTCTTCCGGACACCTGGGCCCACTCCCTGTAGGTCTCAGGTTACACCCGCTTTGATAGCCCTGATCACTCGCCACCTGGCATTTAAGTTGTTATTGGGGTCTTGTCTCCCACCCCATTAGACGGAGCTTCTGTATCTCTGACCTAGCGTCCTGCCCGAGCCGGGCATGGAGTCGAAACACAGAGGAACTAAGTAGTTGAACCGAGCTGAACTGGCTCGTGGAGAGGAGGAGTGGGGATTGGGCCCCTCACCTCTATTCACTGTTCCCGGTGCCTGAAATTCCTCTGTGAAAGCAGCATTGCTGTCCCCTGTAAACACCCACATTAAGCTATTATTCATCATTATTGCTTGAGTAGGAGTTAGTCCCTCAGATCCTTTCTTGCCGAAAGCAGGATCTTACGGAGGGCGGGGAGGAGAGAGATGGATTGATCTGGGAACTGCGTGCTGGTCCAGGAAAGGGGAGGAGGGGTGGCTCAGGCTCTGGGAAGGGAACGTGTTCTGGGGGAATGTGGAGGCACCAAAGGCAAGTTCAGAGGTGTTGTGACCCTACCGAGGTCCCACGGGGCACCTGCAAGCAAGGCCCTCTGGAACTCGGGTGCCCCGCCCCTGGAAGGGGGTGCAGAGGGCCGAGCGGGAGACCCAGGGGCCTTCCCTGTGCTACTCCTTTGGACAGAATGACTCTCTGTGCTGCTGTTGGGGACATGAGTGGTGGGTGGTGGGCTGGGTGTCGGACTCTGGGCGCCCAGGAGGCCTGGGCCCTGGGAGCTCTTGAAGACCCCTTCCAGAAGGGCCTGCTTCTCCTCCAGGGCGAGGGCCTTCTAGGGGGTGGGCTGCGCTGGAGAGACGGTGGCCCAGGGGCAGGGGAAGCAGCTCCTAAGGTCCCTGCTCCTGTGGGCTGGTGGAGGACCCCTGAGAAGGAGCTGCGTGAGGGGGCTGGGAGAGGGCGGGGGAGAGGGGTGTGTGACGGAGTTGAAAGGAAGGACTCAGGGCCGGGCATGTCAGGGAGGAGACGGGACCACTTCACTACGGTCCCTAGAAGGCAGGGACCGTTAGGGGTCATTGTCGTGTTGTGTTCGCCCCACCCTGCACAGTGCCAGGCACACAGTAGGTGTTTAATTAGTAATTACCGGCAACATAGAGGCTCAGCCAGCTCTGCCCTCACGGGGAACCTGCTCTGATGTTCTCTTGTTTCTCTTGCAGGCTCCTGGTCTGGACCCCCCCTGGACCTGTAAGGATCAAAGGATCTGCGGGCCCCAAGCAGCGCCCCTCTGCGCAGGGACCATGGCGCACACCAGACGCGGGAGCTGCGGAGGCACTGCCTGGTGATCCGGCCGCGGAGGCTCGCGGGGGGCGCGGGCGGGGACCCCAGGGCCGTCCATGCCCGGGGTGCGGCCGCGCCCCCTTCCCCTCCAGCCGGGCGCGCCCGCGGCTGGGCGGCGTTCCGGGGCGCGGGCCTGTCCGGGTGCCCCGTCTGGAGCGGCGCCCCGGTGGCTGTGCTGAGGCCACCATGTGACGTGGCGCCGCTCCGTGGTGCCACCCGAGCGGCGACTCCCTGGTGCCTCCCGTCCCTGCGCCCGGGTCCTCGCGCAGGCCAAGCATGAGGCCGCGGCCCGCCGGTCGGGGGCTGGCAGGAGCCGCGCTGTCGCCCGCGCTGCTGCTGCTGCTGTTGCTGCTGCTGCTGCCAGCGCCGCCCCAGCCGCTGGGACGCCTGTGGGCGGCGGGCACGCCAGCGCTGGCAGCGCCTGGAGCTCTGCAGGACGGCGCGCTGAGCGCGGGACGCGTGAAGCGCGGCTGGGTGTGGAATCAGTTCTTCGTGGTGGAGGAGTACACGGGCACCGAGCCCCTGTACGTGGGCAAGGTAAAGAGGGACCCGCACCCACTTTCCCGTGCCCAGGACCCTGGACACACCCATTGTAGATGCGAGGGGCCCCAGTTCCCTTACCCGGCAAGTGCCAGGGCTGGCCAGGGCCAGCCACCAGGGTCCTGCGCTCGGCTTTGTTCCTGGTCTCAAGCCCTCTCTAGCCCTTCTCCTGTCTTTTTACAACAGGGTGCTAGGTCGTCAGCTCAGTCCATCTTGTAGCTAGATGTATCTGGAACGTAGAAACAAACGTGCGCATCTGAACGTGCCCCCCACACGCTGTCCCCACCCTGCTTAAAATCCTTCCGTACCTTCCCATGCACTTGGGGACAAACCAGATGCCATCCCATTGCCTCCAAAGACCCAGCTCCCCACTCTGTACAGGGCCCTGGTGCCCTCTCACTGCCCCTCCCCCATGCTCCAAGCATGATGGTCACCAACCCTTTGCCTAGGTTGTCCCCGCCCCCCACAACTGCTCCATCCAGCTCTTACCGATTACTTTATACTCACAGCCAGGTCTCTGCTCCCTTGCCACTTGGTTGGAGAAGCTGTCCCTGCCACACCAGGCTGGGAGAGATCCCTGGGTGTGGCCATCCCTCCCTGTCATGTGCTCTCCTAGGTGTGCCGTCTTTCCTCCATAACACTTAATTATGCATGCGTTTGTTTGATTATGCATTTAATGTGCATCTTTCCTCTTAGACTGAGTTTGTTTTGCTCACCATAAATCCCCAGTACCTAAGGCAGACATTGCTCACAAACTCTTCATTGAAGGAAGGAATGAATGAATGAATGAATGAAAGCTCCTTTCTGAAACTCTGATGGTCAACGTGGCCGAAGATCTGTGCCCTCGGGAGTGTAAGGAACCTGAGGTCTTTTGTTCATCCATTCACTCCCTGAGCCTCTCTTGGTTGTGATGCTGGAGAGGCAGAGGCGAGTAAGACCCAGCCTCTGCCATTTGGGAGCTCCCCAGAGTGGCAAAGATGCCCTGGTGCACAAAAAACTTCACAGGTCAGCCCCCGGCACTGAAGTAGGCGTTAATGAATGGTATCTGTTGGCTGGCTTCATAGAGAGAAAACACCTGAGCTGGGTTTTGATGTACAGGTAGGAGTTCATCAGCCTACTGGGAAAGAGGGCGTAACCTATGCAAAGACTTGGAGTACTGAAGGAGCCCGGCTTATTTGGAGACTTGTCAGTAGTTGGGGTGTTGAGGTGGAGGTAGTTTGTAGGGCCTGAGAAGCAGGGTGGTGCCCAGGGAGAGTCCTGTGGCTTCTGCTAAAGCCAATCAGCATTCCAGGGAGCTTCGGTCAGCAGAGCTGGGGAGAGACCAGCTCTGGGGTTTCCTGCATGCTGAGGTCTGGGTCTGAAAATTGGGAGCCTGGCCTAGCTGCTGAGTTCAGGGCTCAGGGCTCAGGATCCTAAACAAGGACGGGAGGAAAGCTTTAATGTTAAACTTTCCATTTTCCTGGCAGGAAACCCAGATTTTATCTCATCTAGACATAGTCACCCCTGGTTTTTGGCTACTTTTCCCCTCCATACATGTGGCTGAAGTTGATCCCCGCAGCTGAGCCAAGTGAGGATTTCACAGGTTGTGCTCAGATTGGTTCATGTCCTTGCTCGAGCAAACTAGTGGCAGAACCTAAGACCGCTGACTCCCAGCCAGGGCAGTGAGAGGGTGGGCCTGGTAGAACGGGGTAAGGGGGTGGGAAGGAGGAACCAGTGCCCCCCAGCTAGACAATAGCTAATGGCGAGGTAGCTGAGGATGCTTTGGGGCCAGACACACCTGGTTTGGAGGCCTGGCTCTGCTAACCCATTAACCATACTACCTTAAACAAGTCACTGCATCTCTCTGAACCTCAGTCTCTTCATCTGTACAAGTGGGGCTAAGAGAGATCATTCCCTTTTACCTGGCTGGTAAAAGGATTAAAGAAAAGTGAGCACATACAGTGTTCTGCCTGCAGCCTGGTTGCTTGTTGTGTGTTGTTTTCTCATCATTCCTATTGAAGCACTTAACACTTAAACTGCAAAATAGAAATCATTCTTCCCTTTTGTAGACAAGGAAACTGAGGTTCAGAGAAGGCAAAATCGTAGCGGGGCCAAGTGCTTGGCCAGGATTTGAACCTGTGGGTGCTGGAGGCCTATCCCAGCCTGATTCTTCAAACTTTTCTGAAACTTCCAGGCCAGGGAGAAGGACTTTGGAAAACCCCTGAGAGACAGGGAAGGGCTCTGACATCTCTGCCTAAATGGCTGTGGTGGCCTCAGGCACCCCAGCCCTGTGGTCCACCCAGCAGCTAGGGCTCAGGGAAGGCCTCCCCAGCCTCCTCTGTGCTGAGAAGATCCGAGAATCCGCTGACTCACCACTGTTGTCTGCCTCTGTCCAGCCACTGCCACCTCAGCCACCCGAGGTGAACCCCCGCCACCTGTTAGAACCACAGTCTGTCCGTGGTGGCAGAGCCCCAGTAAATTCCTTCATTATAAGGTGGGGCAACTGAGGCCAGAGGCAGAGAACATCATGCCAAGACCCCGGCAACATGGTCAACCCATTGATCGGATCCCCTGACACCCACCTCCGGCCCAATGCCGTGCATCCTGTTTGAGCGTCCGCTGTGACGGAAGCGTTGCGCCCAGCCCAGTGGTCTTTCTTGTCACAGCAACCTCCCTCCACATCCCCAGTGCTGTCCTGACTGTGTCACCCTCCCCCTTCATCATCTGCACCCACTGCCCCTCCTCGCCTGCTTTCAAGGCCACATCCAGGAAAGGGCTCCGTGCAGGGAGGAAAGACAAGTGAGCATCTCTTTGCAAACATTTGCCCAAAGCACATTTTCTCATAAGGGCGGCATGGCGTGTGGTTCAGGGGGGCCCACTGGAGCCAGGCGGCCAGGGCTCGAATCCCAGCTCTGCTGCTTGTTTTCTCTGACCCTGGGCACGTTATTGAACGTCTCTGTGCCTCGGTTTCCTTTTCTGTTGAGTGAGGCTGTTCCTAGCACCTCCTCAAAGGGTTGTGATGAGGATTCAATGAGTCAGCATATGTCAGGACCCTAGAAGAGCGCTGGGCATGTGCTCAGTATTAGTTTTTATAATTATAGGTCTCGCCTGGTACTTCCAGCACCGTGAGAATACCATCTACACGAACACAGCAAACCCTGCTCTGAACCCAGAAAGCCTCTTGGCAACCTGATGTCCTAATTTTTCTCCACAATGTGTGTGTGGGGTGGTCTCTAGCCCTCCCTTCACTCCAGGAATATGAGCCTGGGCTTTTAAAAACCACTTGTCCCCTTTCTAGTGGAATCCCATTTTTGTACAGCTGGTTGTGCGTGCACGTGCACGCGCACACACACACTCATACTGCGCTCTTTCGCTCTTCAGGGAGAAAGGACTTCTCTACGGTTTCAGTTAATTCACTGCTTCTGGGTCCCCTGCCCCAGGGAGCCACTGGGAGGGAGCATCTGTCCTTGTCGAATTCCAAAGGTAGCTTAGCAACAGCAGCATCTCCAGTGAACCCCAGCCTCAACGGTAACCTATTTTACCACCGCCTCCTCCATCGCTCACCGCCAGGCTCCTTCCTGTCAGCACCCGCAGGAACCTCTGGGCCCAGGGGTTGACACCAAGGTCCCACGCCAGCGGCTCCCTCCGCTGTCCTGTCGCCTCCGCGGCCGGGCCCACCTCTTCCCCTCACCTCACAAGGCCCACCCTTAAAGCAACCTCCCAACATTTCCATACAATCTGGGTACGTAGACTAATCCCCTTTCCTGAACTGTAATTTCCCCGGAGGCTTCTGTCAACTGGTTGTGGATTTTGTAGGATTTTTAATTCTTTTTTTTTTTTTTAAGAAAAGCTAGAATTATATGGGGTCAGCACTCATGACCAACTCCTGTGGGCGGTGAGATCTATTTTAGATATACAGCAGGATTAAAGTGGGGAGGGAGCAGATTTAATTAAGTTGCTAATATTTAAAGAAAATTGATGAACTCCTGGTTTACGAGTAGCACAGGCATGAACAGACCCCTTATTCGGGGAGAGGCTTTTTATTTGATTTGCTTTCCGTTTAAATCCTGGACTCGTTTTATTTGCGTTGCCACGCTGTCCGTTTAATTGTCTTTAATAAGGAAAACGTACCTCTGTTCCCATTTAATTTTGATTTAATTAGGAGGAAGTAATTAATGGCCTCATAAATCCTGGTTTTCGGCCCCCCGGGTGAGAAGCCCTCACTCCTGTGTTTTTCATGTTGTTTATGATCTAGGGCTGGGGCTTGTGTGGGGGGAGGTGCGTCTCCTCCAAAGCTGCCCGCACGTTGATGCAGTGGAGGGACCCCAGGGTGCGCGGTCAGACAGGCCTTGGGGCCTCCCCTTGTTAGCTGTGTGACTTTAGGCAGGATATGGGCCCTCTCTGAGCTTCTGTTTGCCAACCTGTACAACAGGGAGAGAATAATCCCCAGATCACTATGAGATATCAACAAGGTCGCGCGAAGAGTCTGGACGCCTGCCCAGTGACTCCTCTCCTGTCTTAATTCGTGCATCCCTGGGATTTAACAGAATGGCTAGATCGTCCAGAAACCCCCGAAGACACTGGGGAATTCTAATGACAGCTGTGTATTTCATTATTCATTTATTCAATGTGTTTGGTGCTGTGCCCGTGCTGGATGCTGGGGAGATGGAAACAAAGCCATATGCTTGGTCCTCAAGGAGCTCATGACCTCACACTCTCATGTGCGTGCACACTCACACACACACACACACACACACACATTCAGCTCTCCCATTCCCCCGTCTTTTCTCTGCATCTGCAGGCGTTGTCAGGGTGCGAGGGTGCGCCACGCTTGGGGAGTTCAGACAAAAGAGTAACCGAAGTTCGTCCCGGCCCATGAGGCCCAAGGCAGCCGGGGGGACAGACGTGCAGCATTGAGGGGCTACGGGGGGTGGGCATGGGGCAGGAGGACTGAGCAGGGTGAAGGCCTTTCAACCAGGTGGGAGGGCATCCACAGGGCTTCCCAGAGGAGGAAACACGCTGAGTTTAGAAGACCCCAAGCAGATACTGGACGATGGCCTCTCTGTCTCCAACGGACCAGGATCTGAGTGACCCCCAACCTCTCCTGAGACTAGCTCAGGTGGGGAAGGCAGAGGAGGTGAATCTGCATTGAGCGCCTACCATGTGTCAAGAGCTTCCACATATGATCTCGGAGATCTTTAAAATTTATGGGAAATAACTCCAGCCCGATCTCCAGATCGGAAAGCTGAGGCTCAGAGAAGGGTTGCCTCATGCTGAGGGCCCCGTGACAGGCCAGTGACAGAGCTAAAGATGGAACCTAGATGCTCCTGAAGCCAAAGCCTGTCCCTTCCCTGATTTGGGATTTGATGTCCTTTCCAAATGATGAAATAGAGGCTGCGGCTGAAGAGGCCGCCGACAACTCGTGTTCGGCCTCGCCCTGAGCCGTGCGGTCCAGTGACAACCCCACAGTCCGCCCCTCCTCCTCCGCCCCCTCAGCCAGAAACACTGTAAGTGCACTAACCGTGTCCCCAGAGGCTGCAGAGGGACCACCCGTGCAGAGGAGTCAAACAGATCGGGGCCCTTCTCAGCCTCTTCACCTGGAAAATGGGGATACGCGTATGTGTACCCTGAAATGAAATCAGATTTCTGCGGAGGCCTGTGACATATGTGTGATACAGGCTGCCCAACCTGTGGGCGTCCCTGGTCCGCACTGGAAGAAGAGTTGTCTTGGGCCACCCGTTAAATACATTGCGACACGTAATCCCCAAAAAAAAATCTCATAATGTTTTAAGTAAATTTCCAGTGTTGTGTTGAGCCGCATTCATAGCCATCCAGGGCTGCATGCAGCCTGCGGGCCCGCAGGTTGGACCCCCCTGTGCCAGGTGATTGGTAAATGAGAGCACCGTCCTCCTGCCTCCACTCATAGCTGAACGGCTCGAGAAATGTCCTCCTACGATAGGGCCACACGCCCGCCCTCTCCACTCCGGAGCCAGGGCCGGGGCGAGCAGGGCCGGCAGCCCCAGCCCAGCCCGAATCCTCAGCTCCCAGCTCCTCCGCAGGCTGACCGGCCCTGTCTGATGCCACAGTCCCCAGTGGGAAGCCACTGGGCCCCAGCACGACCTCTGTGTCATTCTTCACAGAAAACATTGATGACATCACCCCTGGGTTCCACTCCCTCCTCCCCACTCCTCACTCATAAGCGATTCCTGTCCAGGGTCTGAGTTAAAATGTCAACAGCTGCAGGGACAGGAAGGAGACCCAGGAGGAGGAAAGAGAAGGAAACACCCATTCACAGGGCGTTTAGGTCCTTGCTGTTCTCCTTTAATCCTCACCACGCCTGCACCGAGTAGGGCTTGATCTGATTTCCCCAGTGGGGAAATGGACTCAGAGAGGTAAAATGAACAAGCCTGTGGTCACAAGTTTCGTGAGTCACGGGGTCAGGAGCTGGCTTCCCCCATGCAGCTGTGTGGCAAAGCAAATGACTTCCCCTCTTTGTGCCTCAGTTTTCCCATCAGAGAAAAGGAAGAATAATAGTGGTCCACGTGGCAGTGACGAATTCTAATATTATAGCTCTTAAGCATCCCCCTACATGGTAACTACAGGCACTTGTTTTATTGCGCTTGGCTGTATTGTGCTCCACAGATGTGGTTGTTTATTTGTTTGTGTGTTTACAAATTGAAAGCAAGACCCTCCAACAGCAAAAAAAGATTATGACACGCTTTATTGCGGTGTCTGGAACCAAACCCACCACGTCTCGGAGGTTTGCCTATATCCCACCCACTGCTCAGAAGTGCTTGCCGATGAAGTAAGCAGAGGGCAGGTCTGATTGGAAAGTGGGCACAGGCGCTTCTAAAAGGGATCAGGTCCACCCTTTTCTATTGCCACGACCCGCGGGCAAACGTGGTGGAAAAGCATAAACAGCAAACAAGAGAGACAGGTCTCCTCACCCCCCGGCACTGCCAATGATTCAGGGCTGCCGTTCTGAGATAATTTTATTGGGGGCATTAAACTGAGTTATGAGGTTTTTACAATCCAGCCACTTATGAGAAATCTATTAACAGTAACTGGACAGGAAGAAGGCTTCTTGCTGGAGCCCAGGACAGGCATTAATTGGGGCAATCTATAACAGAACGGGGACCCAGAAAGGTTCCACCAGACGCCTCCATTTACTCCCCGCAATTTCTGCTGAGAATCAGCAGACTCGCCAAAAAGAGAGAGATGCCCATTAATCGGCTAATGAAATATGAAAATGTTTATGGGCCATTCAATCTTCCAAATGGCACTTCTATAATCCACCTTTCAGACACAAAGTTCCACCAGCAGAATTTATTCCCCAGCTCCCCCTGTATGGCAGGCGGTGGGCTTTCGTCCCTGTTTGTGACGACTTTGTTGGCACCTGTTATCCTGCCGAGCAGGCTGGGGAACACAGGATCCTGGCCAGAAATGGAACTTGGGGACTCTCTCATTCACACCCCATCTCTCTGGAAGCTTAGAGAGGAGCGGGGACTCAACCCAAGGTCGCCAGCTTCATTGGATGCATTTTCCTCTGCTCAGAGCTGCCTCGGAGATTCGAGCATCGGAGGATACGGGCTTAGATGTTTCTGTTTGGAAGAACAGTCTGCTGCCTTCCTTGCCCAAGAGATCTCTGGACAGTGACAACAGCCGGGATCTGGAGCCTGCGAGTGCCTCAATTAAATCCCAGTTATATATAGCCAACATTTAGCAAGAATATAACAGTGCGATAGCTACCATTTGTTGGGCACTTATGTCTCAGGCAGGGCTGATTTTCAGCTTGTACTTACCGGTGTGGTTGTGCCGGTTGTTGAGACAGTGAAAAAGCTCTCTACCTGCGGTAAATAGTCTCTCTGCGCTCCCTTGCCCCAACTCCCTCAGCCCCTCGGAGCTCTCTGTGAGCTGGCAGCCACAAGGTGGCCCTGCTGTGGTCCCACTCTGTGGACAGTGCCATGCCATGCCAGCTGTTAAATGCTGTGTCATGTGGTGCCAGGCAGGTGCTAAGGGCCCTGTGTAATTTCAACTCAATTATCCCCCAGCACCCCCAGGAGGGAGGTGCTGTTATGATCCATGTATTACAGAAATGGCGGCTGAGGCCCAGAGAGGTGCAGCGGACACACAGGGAGACAATGCTGCAGCCCAGGCCAGGCTGTGACACCTCCTCCTCCCCCCGGGCTCCTCTGGGGAGGCTGGAGGGATGGAGTGAGAAGTCCAGGCTGTGGACGAGGCTGTTTCCTCCATGCAGCAAATCATCCCACTTCTCTAATCCTTAGGAGGAAACTGAAAAAAGACAATCTATAAAATCAGTAGCAAAGCCTCCTCTAATACTTCCTTTTAAATAAAGAACACTGAACTAGATAAATACGTAAATTGCTTAGCACAGTGTCTGGCACATAGTAAGCGCTCCTTCAATTTGCATTCCCTTTTCTCCTCTCCCTTCATGCCCTGTCCCGCTCCTGTGCCAAGCCCTGGGGCTGGCTCTCCAGATACCCAGATGAGTAAGATACAGCCCTGAGCTCTGGGGGCTCAGAGTCTAGGGAGACTGGGGAGTGGCTTGGAACCTTGTCAGATGTGCAAACTGAGGTCCCATTCCCAGACCTATTGAGTTGGAATCTGCATCATAACAAGATCCTCAGGTGAAGTGCGTGGACAAGAGGCTGGAGGAGCGCTGGCTACAGCCATCCAACAAGCTGAACGGGATGATGAGGCCTTGATGTGCTGCAGAGATCCTGGAGGGGACTGGGGAACGGAGCTTCAGAAAAAGTGGGAGGAAGAGGTGGCATCTGAACTGAGCCTGCGGGATGATTGGAGTTTCACTAGGCAGTGAACAGGGTGCTCACAGCAGGGACCGACTGGTGGGGAGGTGGCTCTGGACTTCTTTGTAAAGGCAGTAGGGAGCCATGGAAGAGTCACAAGTGGGATTCAGATCTGCCTCTGAGGCTGAGAGCTCCGGCCGCAGAGGGAGAGGTAGCTTACAGGGCAGGGCTGGAGCAGGCAGAGCCATGGAGGGCTGGCGGAACTCCCCAGGCCCGACAATGAGGCCCCGACAGGTGCGGCAAGGTTCCCCAGGCCTCTGTGTTTTGACACAAGAGCGGGTATGTCAAAGAGGAGACTTCATTAGGAATAGGCACCCAGTGGGACTCAAGGAGGGGAAGCCGAGAGGAGCTCCCTCCCACCCCGCACCCCATCTTCCTCCCCGCCTCTCCAGATCCACTCGGACTCAGACGAGGGTGATGGGGCCATCAAGTACACCATCTCGGGCGAGGGCGCAGGCACCATCTTCCTGATCGATGAGCTGACAGGCGACATCCACGCCATGGAGCGGCTGGACCGTGAGCAGAAAACCTTCTACACGCTCCGGGCCCAGGCTCGGGACCGCGCCACCAACCGCCTTCTGGAGCCCGAGTCGGAGTTCATCATCAAGGTGCAGGACATCAACGACAGCGAGCCCCGCTTCCTGCACGGCCCCTACATTGGCAGCGTGGCCGAGCTCTCGCCCACAGGTGGGCTGCGGGGTCCTGGGGGGATGGGCTGGGCCAGGGCGGGCCAGGGCGACGAGGAAGGGGAGCTGCTAGATTTTGAGGGCATCTGCGGCCGGTGTGACCAATACTCTGGGGCGGGAGGCAGGAGAGACAGGAAATGCTACCCCAGGGCAGAGGGAACAGGCATGAGCCCAGGTGCCCACACGAGCTCAGGCACAGTCCTAGACACAGTCACAGCTGTGCACGTGGACAGAGGCATACACGTGACCTCGGGCACATACACGGACAGAGTCCCCACAAGAACATGGGTCTACCTGTGGACACAGAGATACACTCGGACATTGTCTTACACCTACACGCAGTCACACACACAAGCCTAGCCTCACATGCCAGCTCAGCTGTCCACCCATACACAGCCCCATTCAGGCACAGCCCCGCGTGCCAGCAACATCGCACGGCCACACACACAGGCTCAGGTGCGCGCCTTGACGCAGCCCTGCACCAGAGTTCAGCTCCATCTTGGCCACAGTCCCCACGCAGGTCAGGCAAAACAAGACGCATACGCCTGCAACCAAAGACCACTAGAGTGGGACACATCCAAGACAAGGCCCAAGCCCACAACCAGACACAGCCTCATGCCCAACACAGCCACGTACAAGGCCGCCCAGGAAACAGCCCTTACTCAGACAGAGCATGTGCACAGCCACCTACACACACACACACAAGAAACAGCCACACCAAGAATCACCATCCTGGGGCCAGGCTCCACCAGAATGTGGCTGTAGGCGGGTCTGGGCACAGCCAGGCGCAGCGACACTGAGGCAGCTTCACTCATGGCCATCAGGAAGCTTCAATGCACCAGATCCAGTAACCCTGGGACAGAGGTTCAGAGAGACAGCTGAGTCCCTAGGCATAGATTCAGGTGCATGTACCCAGGCATGCTGCTAACACCCAGGGACCCTGGAGACACGTGGAAAAGGGAGCATGCACAGGGAAGGTCCTGTCTGCAAGAAGACCTCAGACATGGCCACACTCAGAAACTCACAGCGTTCGCCCAGCAGGGAACACTGAAGCCAACGGTCGGGAGAATCCGCCCTCCCCCTCCGTGGGGCCCACATCCAGCTGGCTGGCCGCCAGGCCCCACTTGGGCTGGGGCTCCTGGTAAAGCCAGGAGCTGTGTCTCCTTCCTCACCACGTTAACCTAAGCACCTATCAGCCAGGCTGGACGGGGAGCACGCCCCACTGCTATTGCACCCTAGCCGAGGGCTCAGCACCGCTTCCCTCTAGGCCCTCCAGCCTCACGGGTGTGTGCCAGATGCCAGGGTTCTCTGGGTTCTTGGGGGAAATTGCAGTCAGCCCCAGCTCCCCCAGACTGAGCTAAACTGGCAGATTGGCAGGTGATGAGCAGGCAGCCAGGAACTGAAGAGGAAGGAGTGGGCAGGAGAAAATAGTGGGCACCAAGGGAGGGTGGGAGAGCAGAGAAGTGAGGGTGTGAATGTGGGTGCCACTGGCATGCACACACACAGGTCCATGCGTATGCCTGGTGGGCACATCTGTGGCTGGTCAAATGGCACGTTAAGGCCTGTGTGCCCATGTGACATGCTATGTGTCTATTTGAGTGCATTCATTCACTTAAGAAACACGTACGCGGACGTACTATGTGCTAGGCACTGGGGACACAGCCATGAAAGGGCAGGCAAACCTCTCTGCTGTCAGCAAGTAAACAAACAGATCTTTGACCTGGAAAGGTTTCTCTGAGGAGATGGCGTTGAAGCAGAGACCTGAAGGGTGCGAAGACAAGGGCCACGGGGGAAGAGCATTCCAGGCAGAGGGAACGGTGCATGGAAAGCCCCTGACGGGAAGTGGAGGGGCAGCCAGATCTTGGAGGCATGCGGACCACAGTCAGGGCTTTGCCTTTTATGCTGGGCAAGCTGGGAACTCAATCTATGGGCTTGTCCAGAAGAGTGACATGATGCAACTTAGTTTTAACAGGATCCCCTGGCTGTTGTGTGACAATTAGGTGGTAGGCAAGGAGGGAAGGGGCGAGGGCAGAGACAGATTGCCCATTGAGGAGAATATTGCAATTACCTCGGCAGGAAATGATAGTGGTGTGGAACAAGGTGGTCCCGGTGAGGGTGCTGAAAAGAGGTCGACTCATGGACTGATTTCAAAAGTAGAGCTGAAAGCATTTGCTAATGGATTGGATGTGGGGTGTGAGAGGAAGGAAATTCAAGGATGACTACCAAGACTTTGACCCGGACCATTAAAGAGATGGGATTTCCATTTGCTGAGATGGGAGGAGCAGATTCTGGGGAGGGAGGGAAATCAGGAGCTTGGTGTCAGACATGCAAAGTTGGAAGTGCTGATTAGCCAGCCAAGTGAACATCTGGAAAAAGGTATTTCAATATGCAGGCTCAGTGGAGAAGCCTGGGCTGGAGACAGGAATTTGGAAGTTGTTAGTTTCAAAGACTGCCTGGACTTTCAGAGCCCAATGAGTACTTAGAAATCAGTTTTGCAAATGGGGGAGACTGAGGCTGAGAGGGCCGGTGATATGTCCAAGGTCACGCAGCAAGTCAGAGGTAGCTCAGGCCCCTGACTTCCCAGGCCCAGCAGCCCCTGCTCCTAGACTCAGACTCTGGCCTAAGAAGATGCGGCCCTGTCTCTCTTCACTCAAAACCAACCTGCATGTTTCCACATGGAAAAGGCCAGAGAGGAGGCTGGAGAAGGAACCGAAGGACCTGAGGGAAGCCTGGAGTCTGGGAAGGCTTAAGCAAGGGAGTGATGTGGGAAGACTTGCGTTTGAGACAGCGCCCCCTGCTGCTGTATGCAGGATGGGTGGGGATGGTCAGGGTGGGGGCTGCAGAGGGAGCCCCACATCCGTCTGCGTGGCCCGCGGCTCATGCATCATTGCTTCACTCACGCTTTGACTCTGAGAGGCGCAGGACTGATGGTAGCGTCCCCATTGGACAGATGGGGACACCGAGGCTCAGAGAGGCGAAACTGTACTTGCAGTCACATGGCAAGTCAGTGCCGGAGCAAGTCGCTGAGCGGGGCTCCCAGGCTGTTGCAGTGGCAAGGGTCCTTGTGTCACAGGTGGGGAAACTGATACCAAGAGAAGGGCAAGGACTCATTCAAGGTCACCCAGCAAGTAAGAGGCAGGGCCAGCCTCCAGCTTCACGGGCACCAGCCTGAGGAGTCTCGCCCCTGCCTCACCTCCCTCTCCGGCCTGCTCACTCTGACATTCCACTCAGGAAAAAGTCAGGCAAGCAGACTCAGCTTAGACAAGCCAGGCAACCCAGGAGAGGGAGGAGGAAGCAGAAATTAAATTAGTTTATTTCATTTGAGCAACTTTTTGAAGGGGAAGCAAAATCGACACCAGGGTGCTCACGGAGACTCCAGGCGGCTTTGAACATCAGTCACAATTACTGAGCCTCCTGATCCGGGCTGAGGGGGGCGGGGCCGACAAGCGCACCCGGTTCTGGGCAGCTTTGGAGATCAGAGGGAGCAGGGACGCAGCTTGGGACATGAAAGGCAGCAGCACTCGCAAATTAAACCACTCACGGCTTAAAAGCGAAGGGAAGTGTGCCAGGGCCTCCGGTGAGCCACACTTCCAAGGAGGGGCACCCGCTGCTGACACGTCCTGCAGCTGACGGGAGGCCTGGCTCCCCCCGTGACCTTGGCCAAGTCCCTGCCTCTCTCTGGGCCCCATGTTCCCTTCTGAGCACTGAGGGGGTTTCATTCATGCAACAGACATTTTTTGAAAAAGATTTTATTTATGTATTTTTAGAGCAAGGGGAAGGGAGGGAGAAAGAGAGGGAGAGAAACATCAAACCGGGGACCTGGCCTACAACCCAGGCATGTGCCCTGAAGGGGAATCAAACTGGTGACCTTTTGGTTTGTGGGACGATGCCCAACCCACTGAACCACACCAGTCAGGGCTTGCAACAGGTATTTATTGCATGCCTACTAGGGGCCACGCACTGTTCCACGTATTGGGGGTTATTAGGAAGCCTATGTATAGAGCAGGTTGAGAGACAGGAAAGAAATAAACAAGCCGATATATTATACACCCAGGTGTAAGTGCTGTGAAGGATGGTGAATTGGGAATTATACGGGTGGGGCAAAAGGGGGTTTACAGCTGTTTGCATGGAAAATAATACAATGATTCATAAATAATAAAACAAGAGTAAACTCTGGGTTTCACATACTCAAAGCTATAAACCCAGTTTTGCCCCATCTTATTTTGGAGGAGTGCTGTTTTTTTAAAGATTATTTATTTATTTATTTATTTATGGAGAGGGGGAAGTGAGAGAGAAAGGGGAAGAGAGGGAGAGAAACAGCGATCCGCTGCCTCTCCTTCCTCTCATACACGCCCCAACCATTTGTGCTCCAACCAGGGACTGAACCCCTAACCTAGTCATGTGCCCTGATCAGGAATTGAACTGAGCCGCACTGGTCAGGGCAGGGAAGGTCTTTCTTTTCATACGGTGACATTTGAACAAAGATCTGAAGGAACCAAGGGAGTGAGCCAAGGAGCTATGTGACACAGTGGTTTTCATACTTTATTGTGCATCCCCATACCTGCAGGGCTTGTTAAAACACAGACGGCTGCCTCCTCCCCTCCCCACCGCCCACCAGGGTTTCTGATTCAGTGGGTCTAGGCTGGGTCTAGGCTACTAGAAATGTTTGCATTTTTAACAAGTTCCAAGGTGATGCTGATGCCACTGGTCTAGGGACCACACTTGGAGAACCACTATGCTGGAGGAATATGTTCCAGGCAGAGGGAACAGCAAGTGCAAAGGTCCTGAGGCACAATGTGTTTGTCATGTTTGAGGACTAGCAAGAAGGTCAGTGTGGGTGAAGAGAGGAGTGAAGGGGAGAGTGTCCAATGAGATCGGAGGAGGTACCAGAGGCAAGATCACTTAGGACTTCGTAGTAGAGAAGGGACATGATCCAACTTATATTTTTAAAGGATGACTGTTGGCCCCCATGTTGAAAATAGACTGTAGGGGGCAAGGCTG